GTCTGACCCGACGTTTGGGAAGTCAAGTGGAGGGGAACTCTCACGGTTGCTCTCCCAATATACACATGGCCCCACCTGATGACTTTCCCAGATAGTTCTGAAAAAGTCCAGGCCTGACCGCACATTTGCGGGGTCAAAATGTAAAGAGACCCTTCGCCGCCCCCCAGGCCAGCTGAACCTGACGGCTCGCTTCCCAATATATAGGACGTCCTGGTCCTCCCTCGAGGATTCGCAGAGAAGTAGTTGTCTTGTAACAAGGTGGCCAGCTACTACACCACCAGGCCTGCTCGAGAGAAGTCAGAGGCCGGAGGCAAGTCGCCTCCGGTCAGGACCGAGACTTCCCTCCGGTGTCCCAGCTAAGCAGGCGCCCTCCCGACACCAGTGTTCCAGCTAAGCAGTCTCCCTGCTAGGCCTCCCCTAGGTCACGTGAGTGTTTGTCAGAGCTTTCCATGGGATGAGTTACTTACGTGGGAAGTGTATTCATTTCATGTTCGTGTCCGAGAATCAGAGTGTCTAGTAACGTAATATGATGTCCTAGTAACGTAAATATAATATCCTAGTAACTTCAATAGAAGGTGTTATTAATGTGTCCATGTCATGTTCGTAATTAATAAAGAGTTGTAACGAAGCGGTGTTTGAGAAGTCGCCCTTAAGACGTAATAGATGTGTATTGACGTATAACATACGATAAGTGTAAATAACTATCACGGCCACGCTACCAAAATCTTCCTCTCTTTTATACTCTTATACTATCAATATTCTACCTATATGTAATCTTCTTCTTGTGAGATTTGTCTCATTACACATATATATATATATATATACATATCTTGATAAAATCACACGGGAAAATGGAAACAACGGAGTACATTAGCTTTCGTCTTTATTCAAGACATCTTCAGAGGCAACTGAAATATATATACATATATATACATATATATATATATATATATATATATATATATATATATATATATATATATATATATATATATATATATATATATATATATATATATATATATATCATGTAGATCCACAATGAAAACGTGTTTGCGATAAATCTTGATAAAATCACACAGGAAAAAGGGAAACAATGGAGCACCTTAGATTTCGTCTTTATTCAAGACATCTTCAGAGGCAACTGAATTACAAGGACCGAGAGAGGCTTAAGTACACAGGATGACCTTACGAAACATGAAGTCAGGTCATAAAAATTACATCCACTAATCCGCACACCAACATAACCACACACACAAAAGGAGCTTAAAAGAAAGGGCGACGTAACTAGTCATGTTAAGTCAGGTAAAAAATATGGGACCCACTAATCATGTAGTCAAATTTCTCTTTGTTTGGCTCACATACATACGTACATGGAGGAGATCTCGCACTCAGGATGGAAGTGAGAAAAGAAACTCACGATAACATCATTGGCCAAAGGAAGGCTATAGGTAGAAGGATAAATCGTGGCGAAATTCACCTCCGGGACTATTATAGGGTATTGGCGAGTAGGGTTAAAACCGAGATAAGGAAAGCAAAGAGGAATAATGAGGTAAGGATAGCAAGGGAGGCGAAGACAAACCCCAAAGGATTCTACCAAATGTATCAAACTAAAACACGAGAAAAGATTGGACCAATACGGTCAGACACCGGCGAGCTCACTGATAAACGACAGAGAAATGAGCAATAATTTGAATAAATATTTTTCAACAGTTTTCACCACCGAAAATTTAAACATGATACCCGAGGCACCGACTCTATTCAGAGATAGTGAAGAAAACAAATTAAGCGAGATAGTCGTGACTAGTAACGATGTTAGTAAGCAAATAGACAAACTAAAGCCTAATAAGTCACATGGTCCCGATGAGATATTTGCCAGAGTATTAAAGGAATGTAAGGAAGAGCTTAGTATGCCCTTAGCAAAGTTGTTTAACATGTCCTTAAAAACAGGTGTAGTACCAGAATCCTGGAGGATAGCGAATGTAATTCCAATTTTCAAGAAGGGAGATAGATCACTATCCTCTAACTACCGCCCAATCAGTCTAACATCAATAGTAGGCAAATTACTGGAAGCAATCATTTCAAACTCTATTCGAAATCACCTGGAGAAGCACCGATTGATCAATGATTCCCAGCATGGCTTCACAAATTGACGTTCTTGCCTAACTAATCTATTAACATTCTTTTCATCAGTTTTCGAATCGGTGGACGAGGGGCACAATTATGATGTGGTATATCTCGACTTTAGCAAAGCCTTCAACAGAGTCCCCACGAAAGACTAATTAGAAAGGTAGAAGCTCATGGCATCAAAGGTAACATCCTTAAATGGATTAGGGCGTGGTTACAGGACAGGAAACAGCGAGTGAGCATTAACGGCACTAAGTTCCATTGGAGCAACGTCACAAGTGGAGTTCCCCAAAGCTCAGTACTTGGACCATTATTATTTATTATATACATAAACGACATAGATATCGGCATAGACAGCAACATAAGTAAATTTGCTGATGACACTAAAATAGGACGTGTTATTAAATCTGACGAGGACTCAGCAAAACTACAGGAAGATCTAAACAAATTTTTCGAATGGTCTGAAAAATGGCAGATGAAATTCAACGTGGACAAATGTAAAGTACTCAGTATAGGAGATGTAAACAGGGAAACCAGATACCAGATGAACAACGATGCCATAAAGAAATCCGACTGCGAGAGAGATTTAGGAGTAATGATAAGTAGGAACCTTAAGCCAAGTAAACAATGTGTTTTTGCTCATAAAGGCTAATAAAGTACTTGGGTTCATACAAAGGAGTGTTAGTTACAAGACTAGCGAGGTCATCCTAAAACTGTATCTTGCTCTTGTGAGACCACACCTGGATTACGCAGTTCAGTTCTGGTCACCGTATTACAGAATGGATATAGAATCCTTGGAAAGAATTCAGAGGAGAATGACAAGACTAATCCCGGCATTAGGAACCTTGAGTATAGAGACAGGTTAAAGCATCTTAATTTGCACTCCCTCGAGAGACGTAGAGTGAGGGGCGACCTGATAGAGGTGTATAAGTGGAAGGCAGGGCTAAACAAAGGGGACATTACAAAGGTACTCAAACTATCCAACCAGGAGCGAACTCGTAACAATGGTTTTAAATTAGATAAATTTAGATTTAGGCGTGAAATAGGTAAACACTGGTTTGGAAACAGAGTAGTGGATGAATGGAACAAGTTACCAAATATCATCATTAACTCGAATACGCTGAATAGCTTCAAACATAGGTTGGATGCTTATATGAGCAATAGGGGTTGGGTGTAAACGGGGCTGCCCAGTATGGGCCAATAGGCCCGCTGCAGTTTCCTCTATTCTTATGTTCTTATGTTCTTACGTGTTGCTCTGAATGAAACGACACAGCAAAACGTAGAATTCATCTGCAGACTCCACTCCTCGAACAGAAATGACACAAATATCAGTGATATTAGTTACACGATGTTCATCAAAGGTACAAAGGAACCTGAAAAATTGCCACCACCACAATCCTCTCTATAGTAGGTAGTAGGCAGCTACCAAACAGGGAGGTACTACTGCCTGGGAAGATATTGTTAATCAAGAACTCCCCCAACAATGCAGGCGGCTGCATTTACAAGGTTCCTTGCAAGGAATGTAATATGTTCTACTAAGGCCAGACAGGTAAAGATCTTGTAACTAGACTTAAACAGCATAAATATAGAGTTAGGACAGGCCAGGAATCCAATGCTCTGTTCGTTCATATGAGAGAGAAGCATTGCATTGACTGGGATAATGCCTCCTCAATATTACCTTGTAATTCAATTGTCAGTAGGAACATTATAGAATCCAGTCTCATTAAACATGCCGAATTCGTCAACATGAATTTGAGTAATGGTATGTACAAACTGGATAATTTTGTAATTAAGAAGATTTGTAACCAGGTGAGAAGGTTGGGTCATCTTACCCTATGACCTCACTACCGACAGCTGCTGTGCTTATGAAGTTTAGTAGGGTCACTGCCTAATGACAGGACCATTGTGGACACCAACGGTCCCCTAGGGACTTGATCTCACTCTCCTCTACTGTATACTGTATATTAGCCTTGTCAAGTATTTCTCCTTAGTCTGTACTCACCCCTGAAGACGTGAATTACACGAAAGCGCTTGGGAACTTCGTTTTTTCTTGTTTCCTTGTGGTTATCATATATATATATTGCCTTTCTAGTTTATTAAAATATTCATACATGCCAAATCTCATGAAATTAGATTGTATATTTTCAGAGATATCAAGTTTAAAAAGAGGAAATGGGCTCGGACAGCCATTTTGTGTTTGTTTAAATCATTTTGGAAATATTTTATTTCCGGTGCCTTTGTAAATTATTAAAAGCCTTTCTCATACCAAATTTCATGAGGTTAGCTTGTTTAGTTCAAGAGATATCAGATTTTATTGAAATCTGTCAAATATGTCTTGGGTGGTCATTTTGTTTTTCGTTTAATAAACGCATAAAGGCTTAAATTGAGTGTCATCTACCTGAAATGTGTTCAGTACATGTTATATTAACTGCCTGACATGGGTAACAATTGATAACATCCCATCACGCCTCAAGTTAAATTTCAATATTGTATTTTGCCACCAGTCAATTTGGCCAGCCTGCAATATGCAGTAAGTAGTAAGAAAGTTTCCTCACTCTCCCCAATAACATCACCAGACATCTGGTTAAAAGTCAAGATTTTCGTAGTTGAATATATCTTCAATTATTTTTAATAACAATTTTTGGTAGAAAAACATATCGTTATTAGTACAACTGTAAACTGTGAGCATCACTCAGAAAAGTATGTCTCCACTTGAGCTAAACTTTGCCCAATATAACTACGGTGTAAGTAGGATTACTCATAATAAATCCTGAAAGTGTAGGAGTACAAAATGACGTGATATCTTTTACATAGGAGATCTGGATTAGAATAAAACCCTTCTTAGCACAATAATATTCATTATTCATGCCATCAGTGACTGGTTATAACGCCAATGATTTGTTCACAATATGCAATATACAGTAAATGATTATTCATATATTAATTACCTCCTCAATCATCTAGAGTATATAACTTTAAATTGTACTCACTTTTCTTCAAACAACTGCTTAATTATCTAAGGTTTCTATTTATTATCCATCTTTCTTGTTTCATTATATGCATGGCAGTTCAGTCTTCAAAGCTTCCTGAAATTATGCTGCTGTGACCTTTCACTCTCATTCTGCCTCTTCTCTATCACGGCACAACGTGACATCATGGACTGGGTCCAGAAAATGAGAAACAAATACTTCCACGTCAATTAAGACAGTGTTTGTACCTCTTCCAACTTCTGTGACAGTATCTGGTCATAGCCCCGGAAATGGAAGGCCCCGCGGAACTTTCCACCCCGTAGATATATTGGGTACCACAGTTCATCGTCCGGCCACATCTTAGTATAGGGAATATTATCCACGTTGAACCACTGTGGCTTCATCTCTGAAATGACGTGCACCAGTAAAGAATTAATAATAGCTTAAATAATAACACAGAAAAGGTTGATTACAGAGAATATTGGTATTTGATATGATCATTAAAATTTTACAAAACCTAGAGAATTAAGGTTAAGAAATTATAAAAGCAATACTTTGTGGTGCATATTTTGGATGTACTATAAAAGGTAAATGTAAAATATAAACAGTAAACAAATAAATTGAACTTTGAAATCTCATTCTACAGCAAAGCACTTTGCCTATAAGTCACTATGGCAGCCAGTAATTGGTAGATTGAAAAGTATTTTATATGAAAAATTAATCTAAGTATCAAATCTCTGCCTTAAAAATAAAGAATGAAAGCTAAAATGTCGACGTTGCAATTTTTGCAGCCAAGACTCTTGCATTTGCGCCTGCACGTAAGTACAGTACTCACACTAATTATGGTCCCAACGTTGACTTACACAATGAGCGAAGGTAAGTATACAATATACAATACCATTGGGGCACACTTTCTCTAGTGTGCGCTTGACTATATTCTGAATAAAATAATAGGCGTATAACGAATATTTGATCATTTCATCAATATTTCATCCTTGCATTCAATTCAATAACAAGCACTACAGAGCATGGAATGAACTCCCCACTGTAACAGAGTTGAATGCACGACGTTTATTTTAAAGAAAAAGTCCTTATCACCATAGTCTTATAAAAGGTAAATGTTTCTGGAACAATGATAGTCCCTGTAGTGGAATTCTCCCCTACAAACGCTGTTTGTCGCTGCCTAGCCGACCCCACCAATTCCCCAGTGTATGCCTCGTGGTCTAGGTCAACCAGCGCCGCCATACACCACGGAGCGGGGGTCAACTGCTAAGCCACGCCTACCTCCCCGCGACTTCCGACATGATGTCTCACCAACCAGCTCTCTCTACATCACGCTTGTAACCATGCTGCCTTCCCAGCACCAAGCTGCATTGTACATCCAATACAACATGTATATAGAGAGCACATTGTGAGTTTCCTTTCTCCATCCCATCCTGAGTGTGAACCAAACAATCTCATACCCCACATCCCTATCTGCATTCCATACTAGGCCATGAACACTGTTGGTGGTAACGTTTATATTCATATTTAAGATAGTTTTGTACAAAGCTAACAAAATTGCGTGCAAAAGATTAATGATAGGATTTATGACGTTATCAAAATTCAACCGATGAAATTTCTTCTTATCCCAGTAAATCATGAAGGTTCAGTAGGTAGCAGGTAGTGGGCAGCTATCGGAAGGTACTACCGCCTGATAGGATATTGGAAGGATATTGGAAGCGCAGTGTGTTGTCTAATGGTAGACCCTGCTGCCATATGGTATCACAAATATTGTGACCAAGACCCAGGTTGCTGATATGATTTTCTGCCCCATTTACACAAAATTGCAGGGTCTCAATTGTTTCTCTTACTTTGACAACACAACATACATAATGTATATCGTTTCTCTCTTGTGATTTATTTTTATTTTTTTTTATTTATGGTCTTTTATTATTATTATTATTATTATTATTATTATCATTATTATTATTATTATTATTATTATTATATTTTCGCCCCCATGCCCTGATGTGGGTCATTGACCTGTGCCCTGGTGGGCTATAAAAAAAAATCTCTCTCTCTCTCTCTCTCTCTCTATATATATATATATATATATATATATATATATATATATATATATATATATATATATATATATATATATATATATATATATATATATGCAAGTAAATCACTGTAGGTGCGCGTGATCCAGGTATATGCTGATAACCCTGAAGATGTGAATTACACGAAAGCGCTTGGGAACTTCGTGTTTTCTTCTTTCCTTGTGGTTATGTATATATATATATATATATATATATATATATATATATATATATATATATATATATATATATATATATAAGTGATTCACTACTGCCACACAATTATGGGTTCAGTCTTAGTCATTTTACACTGGTTGAAAAATTTCACTCTGCTGTATATCCGCTGTAATAACTAGATGTGCCTCTTGGAATAAACATGTGAAGACATCTGATGTAAATCTATTTTGCGTACATGCTGTTAGTGAGTGTACAGTGTGACTAAAGTATTTTCTCAGCTGTAATGGCTGCACCACTATTTTGGTATTATTGCTCCATCTTAACATTGAAAAGAGGAAGAGGGTCTTATAGGGTTTCGTGATATAATGTTGTCTAGCACTCAGGATGGATGGAAACTCTAAGGTGGTTTTCTTGTATAATATAAGTTATATGATAGACAGTCTGGTGCTGGAGGTGCCGTGTGGTGAGGAGCTGCTCAGTAGGCACGTTCGGTGAGTAGCGTGTTGAAGGAGGTAGAGGTGCAGGAGCTTCGTTAGAGAAGATGTTGCCTGTTGCTGGCCTCCAGGTTGAATGAGAACGGGACAGCGAGGAGCTTGCTTGGAGGAGGTGTTGCGTGTTCAGGAACCGAGAGCAGAATGAGAGAGCTGGTTGGTGAGGACGCTCAGAGAAGGACAGCTGGTGGGTCGCCACGCTCGCCGGCGGGAGCGAGGACCGCCAGGCAGGCGGAGGAGAAGCGAGGGCCGCCAGGCAGTGGCGGAGGAGGAGGTGTTGCGTGTTCAAGAAGTGAGGCCAGAATGAATCTCAATGGAGAGACAGAGCTTATATACCCAGCAGCCGTGAGTCATCCGTGAGTCAACCTGGGAAACCCCGGGAAGTAGCCGGTCTTTTGACTCAGTTGCTAGGATACTGTGACATCTGGTGACGCCTCCCCCTGGGCCGCTCGTTTGGTTGCTAGGGAAGACGTAGCAGGTGGCATGCAGCTACGCAGTTGTAGGGGAGACGTCCACTACAGTCTCATAGTGGAAGTACAGATACAGCTCACTGCACAAAACTTTCCTTATATAAGGAGGTAGAGTGGTCAGCCGCCTTCACTTCCCCAGCCTTAAGTTAGATACTAAGTCACAGCTGGGTATACAAGGTGTGTCCCGGGAGAATCTAATTAGGCATCCCATCTCCTGATTTTGTCTTTGTATTCATAAAAGACCATAACTTTAAACATGATCAAAGTACAGTGCTATCACTGATAATTTCTTTCACCTACCTTGTTAGGTAGTAGGTGCATGGCAGCTACCAAACAGGGAGGTACTACCGCCTGGGAAGATATTGGAAGCTTAATGTGCTGTCTAATGGTAGACACTGCTGTCAATATGGCATCACGAAAATTGTGGCCAAGTTCCAGGTTGCTGATCTGACTTTCTGCCTCATTTACACACAATTGCAGGGTCTAAATTGTTTCTCGTACTATTGACAACACAACATACATACACACATACCGTATATTGTTTCTCACTAGTGATTTTTTTTTTCATTTTTGTAGTTTTTTATGGTTCTTTATTATTATTATTATTATTATTATTATTATTATTATTATTATTATCATTATCATGATTATTATTATCATTATTATTACAGTGTTGTTATTATTATTATTATTACTATTATTTTATTTTATTTTAATTTTTTTTATTATAAATTTTATTTAGTATGAATTATTATTATTATTAATTATTATTATTATTACATTTTCGCCCCCCAGGCCCCGATGTGGGCCAGTGACCTGTACCCGGGTGGGCTAATCCCCGTAAAAAAAAAAATAAAATAAAATAAAATGAGGACATAGCTAAAGAAGGTGCACTCTGACACCATCACTTTCACTCACACAAATACAAACACTAACACAACAGTACCAACAAATATACTCCAATAATTGTTACAAAAATCAGTATTTGCATTCTGACACCAGTACTGTACCTTCACTCTCCGTGGGCGTGCCAGTGTAGCCTCGGGCGTGGTACACTATGACATGCATCAGGGTTGTGTCGCCTTCGAAAGTGAACTCCAACTCCCCAACTTTCTCCACACCTCCAACTACCTCCACACCTGCCTCCTCCCGCACTTCCCTGAAAACATTTTTTTTTTCAATAATATTTCTAAACCTTCTCATAATGACAACAAATTACTTGAAATTCATAAACATAAAAGTACAGTAATAAGAACAAGAATACTATAAACAGTACATAATGATCCCGTCTTGGCAATTGTATATGGCTGCACATCTAAATTACATCTGTCTTTTATCATCACTCTGTAAAACAGAATGTGCACTAAAATTACCTTTATTTCCACAGGAGACTGTGTAAAACAGGTAATAATAATATTTTTCCCCGAAGCTCACAGTGACCTGGGTGAGGCAGGCAACACACGTCTACCCCATGAGACAGTAACTTAATAACTAAACGATATATACAGCATACTACAGTACTGTTTATGGATAGAACACATGTACCCGAAACAAAAATGTTAAACGGACACACAATATCACAGAACCAGGTTTCAGTCATAAGTTAAATAATAACAATAAAAATAATAATTATAATAATAATAATAATAATAATAATAATAATAATAATAATAATAATAATAAAAATTATAATAATGTAATAACAATAATAATATTAATAATAATAATGATTATAAATGCCGATCACAAGATATCGAGGCTGTTCATACCCAAAGCCCAAGAGGTAATGTAATACAATGGCCGTAAATGAAGTCAAATATCAAAAGATCATTAAAAGTTAATGATCTGGCAGGAAGAAAGGGTAACTCGACAGCCACAGTGCTTAATTATCCATTATCCGTGAACACAATCACTGCTTCTTCTACGTTACTGCTGCGTAAACAATTGAACCAACTTCTTGTTGAGCACCATACGCAAAAACCTGTGGAAGTTACTCTACCCTCTACTGTGAGGTCATGTTCATGTAGACCAAGGTCAATGGTAATGTAGACTGTGAGGTCATGGTCATGTACTGTGAGGTCATGGTCATGTAGACTGTGAGGCCATGGTTATGTAGACTGTGAGGTCATGGTCATGCAGACTGAGGTCATGGTCATGTAGACTGTGAGGTCATGGTCACGCAGACTGTGAGGTCATGCAGACTGAGGTCATGGTCATGCAGACTGAGGTCATGGTCATGTAGACTGTGAGGTCATGGTCACGTAGACTGTGAGGTCATGGTCATGTAGACTGTGAGGTTATGTACACTGTGACCTCATAGCCTACATGACCATGACCTCAGTCTACATGACCATGACCTCAGTCTACATGACCATAACCTCAGTCTACATGACCTCACAGTCTACATGACCATGACCTCACAGTCTACATGACCATGACCTCACGCTCAACATGACCATGACCTCACAGTCTACGTGACCATGACCTCACAGTCTACATGACCATGACCTCAAAGTCAATAACATGACCATGACCTCAGTTCACATGACCATGATCTCAGCCCATGACCTCACACACTCTGCATGACCATGACTCACAGTCTGCTACATGACCACGAGATCTCAGCCCATGACCTCACAGTCTACATGACCATGACCTCACAGTCTACATGACCATGACCTCAGTCTACATGTGACCATGACCTCAGTCTACATGACCATGACCTCACAGTCAACATGACCATGACCTCACAGTCTACATGACCACATGACCTCACAGTCAACATGACCATGACCTCACAGCTCCATGGCGACCATGACCTCACAGTCTACATGATCATGACCTCACAGTCTACATGACCATGACCTCACAGTCTACATGATCATGACTTCACAGTCTACATGACCATGACCTCACAGTCTACATGACCATGACCTCACAGTCTACATGATCATGACCTCACAGTCTACATGACCATGACCTCACAGTCTACATGATCATGACCTCACAGTCTACATGACCATGACCTCACAGTCTACATGACCATGACCTCACAGTCTACATGACCATGACCTCACAGTCTACATGACCATGACCTCACAGTCTACATGACCATGACCTCACAGTCTACATGATCATGACCTCACAGTCTACATGACCATGACCTCACAGTCTACATGACCATGACCTCACAGTCTACATGACCATGACCTCACAGTCTACATGACCATGACCTCACAGTCTACATGACCATGACCTCACAGTCTACATGACCATGACCTCACAGTCTACATGATCATGACTTCACAGTCTACATGACCATGACCTCACAGTCTACATGATCATGACTTCACAGTCTACATGACCATGACCTCACAGTCTACATGATCATGACTTCACGGTCTACATGACCATGACCTCACAGTCTACATGATCATGACCTCACAGTCTACATGATCATGACCTCACAGTCTACATGACCATGACCTCACAGTCAACATGACCATGACCTCACAGTCTACATGACCATGACCTCACAGTCTACATGACCATGACCTCACAGTCTACATGACCATGACCTCACAGTCTACATGATCATGACCTCTTACTTTTACACTATTTTGTTGAAATTCCCTGTTGAATGACCTTCTCCACACTTATTATTATATTTGTATCACTTGTGTTACTTTTATATTATTTGTCAATCAAGTGACACCCACAATTATGTAACTACATTTTTAGCCTTTTGGCTGAAAATAACTCATCCATCTATCCAGAGCAATGGGCTGATGGTGACTGATGTGCACGGATAGAAACGAAAATAGCGCTCAGTGATCATGGGGTCAATTTTCCAGGACCCTCTATGCCGCTACTCTCAGCATATAGGGACTCTAGGTTAGGTTAGGCTAGTCTTAAGCTGGGGCTAATCTTCAGGTGATCCACTATAAATGCAGTGTTACTAAAACTTAACAGACCAGAACAAGATGTAGAGTAAATAAAGTTTTGTCACGACACATTTCATTATACAGACAAGACAGACAAACTTAATGCTGGTTAAGGAAGCACATAACGGGTTACTAGGAACTGGAAGTCAAGTCTTAAAACGTTTCAACCTGTACCAGAGAAAAACGTAGGGACAAGCACTATGCATATCAGGACGCCGCATATGATAATCTCAAG